CTGGATCCCGCGGTAGTTCCGTCACCTTGAATAATAAAGCCATTGTCGGGTTGCGTGATGTTGAACGTGCAGTCCGTCAGGTTGTAAACATAGTTGTCAAACACAGCATCCTGACCGATCTCCTCTGAGGTTAATGTCGGTACGAGATGCAACATGCCATCTTGCACAAACGAGTTCTTTGACGAGGCGGTATTCATCTCGAATTGGCCATTTCTGGAAGGAATGATAAGAAAGAAGCAGTAAAGTAAGCAAAGGTTACCGACCCAGCACCTGAAGCGTCCACCTCCCGCATAAAGTACCCAGAAGGCCCGAATACTTCGTCTGTAGAACGATCAAACTGCTCGTCCATGACCAGACAGAGCGGTTGGCGGTCGAGCATTACGTTCCTGTATGTCAGATAGCACTGAACGGCACCTACGAAACATCTCAGTTCCGGAGTCGACGGATGAAAAAGCTAACGTACTGATTGCGATACCGACAAATATCATACCATAGACCAGGACGTATGTCATCTTTGCGCGGGGGTTGGGCTTGTCTCTCCATGGCTTTGGGACCGAAAGAGAGTCAAGCGTTTCCTTGTCGTCTGTGGTGGAGAGAGAGATGGGGAGAAGGGTTGAGCGCATTCTGGGGGCTGGTATAGGCCCAGAGGGAAACGCGATCGATGTGCTGGACACATAACGGTGTGCATCGTCGAAGGGATCGTGCACAGACGTGGCTGCAGACGGCAGGGAAGAAGACATGGATGCTGCTCAAAACGAGGCCCGAGTCTTTAGAGTCTGGAATGAAAACAGGTATTCCTTAAAGGGCAATATGGAGGGGGGATACGTGAACGAAGGAATGCTTTACATGTGGACAGATCGACAGGTTTGATCTCGAACGCGATCATTCACACCAAAGTTCCAGATGCAGGAACATAATAGCTTTCACCGAGCTGAGAATGCGCGCCAATAGGGTGAGATGGGTACGAATAGGAACCAGTCTAGATGAGAAGCAAGCAAAGTGTCGGGCGGCGGCCATGCAGTGATGAAGGTACGCAGGACGGTTGGTTGGAGAAACCGTTCCGTCGAACACGCATACCTCGAGAGCCGGATCGACACACGCTGTCGTGATTAATTGTAAGAGCCGTAACTTTTCCCGTCATCCGCCAGATACCTTTTTCCATAAGCCTTGGACATTACGCGCGATAAGGACATCGGGACACCTTTGGGCCGACGTGGTGGTGGTGGTTGAAAGGAAAGAGGCGGGGGTACGATCGCAGCTTCCTCTTTAAGCTTACACCAGCATAGCGAATAACTACGACACTCCGCCGCGGTCCTGCCATTTATGACAGCGTATCTGATAAACATAGTCGTTCCTCGAGGTACAGGGCAAGAAAATGGTCGACGGGGAGATTGGAGGGTCATGGAACTGAATGCCCGGTTCCTGGATGCTGGACGAGAAGCACGTCAATCTGCCAATAATAAATCAGCACTATAACAGGTCATGACCTTGCTTCTGCAACGACGCTCGCGCCATGTCTTCTACCGCCAGCATCACTACCGCCGGAGTGACCATCCTCAACAGCGACTACGATGCCTTTGACGCTCTTTTGCATAATATTTGTATGCTTTTCCTTTGTTCATCCGGTGTCGTTCTCACTGTCAATTAGACGAAAAAACTCTTCCTAATAACTGGTTCATTCACCCTACTTCTTCCCAGACTACCGGCGTCTGTCTACGCGTTACTGCTTCTAATTCTTCGCCCGACTCCGTTGGCGTGTCGTCAAGCACATTCCGTGTCTTTCCTTATGAAAACCCTCACTTGGTCAGCTTTGAGGAAAACGTTCGCAAACTTAATCCTGCGGTTGCTGTTAAGCTGAAGAGCCCCAGCATCCATGTTATTATCTCCTCTGTGTAAGACATTCTTTTACCTATTTTCATCTTCCTAATATGTAACAGTCAACCTGGCGACACATCCATTCAAATCGACAAGACGACCCGCATCCAGATCCTGGACCACATCAACATGCTTCCACGCGCGGAAAAGGACCAATGTGGTGCCTTCATCGTAAGTGTTTCTCATAAATATGTATCATCCGCTAACGTCAGTCCACTAACAGCGCTCAGACGACTGCCTTATCCTCTGGGCGTACTCCGTCGACCTCATCATTCCCCTCTGTCAAGAATTCGAGGAGAAGCTCATCAAGTACATCTGGCGAACGCGCGCAGCTCCCAACCGCGACGCGAACACCCCTCCCCCGCTTCAGTCTGACTCCACGCCGAGACTTCGGTCGCTTGCTTCGTCGACATCCAATGTTCCATCTCCACTTTCAGAGAAAGAAGAAACGACTGTACAGGTGGTACCCGCAAAGTCCAAAAAGACAAGATGGTGGAATTGGAAGCTCGACTCCCCGACACCGCCGAGTGATGCGGAGAAAGGTGGATCGGCGCGTCGTCCACGAAAGCACATTCTTCTCGGACCGTTTTATGCTGGATGTGGTGCTGCACTCGCAGTTTGTAAGTTATTATACGGAACTCTGCTAGGGACTCTGACTCAAATTGTCACGTAGACTTTGCTGGAGCCGGGGTCTCGATCCTATTGGAAGAGTATCTTCTTGATGGTGACGCCACCCGCTTCGCAATGTGCGTAACACTTCCTGTTATCGTCTGTGTTTCCATTGTACGTGTACCTTTATCTGTTTCTTCTCATCGCTTACTCTCGTTCAGTTCTTCTGTCTTCAACTTATTGGCAACATCTCACTTGTCATTGGTCCCGTATCTCAATATCACGAAAACTCTGCCTATTATTCTGCCATCAAACCAGAGCCGAATCCAGAGGTCGACAATAACCTCCCACACATTACTATTCAATGTCCCGTGTATAAGGAAAGCTTAGAGTTTACCATGTACGTTACTTCTTCTCTGAATTGCCACTCCACTCCTATCATTTGATACCAGCGCTCCCTCCGTCTTCTCGATCAAACGAGCCATGCAGACGTACGCTCGGCAGGGCGGCACTTCTGCCATCTTTATCTGCGACGATGGACTGCAGCTCATACCCGAGAAGGATCGCCAGGAGCGTATTGACTTCTACGCCAATCACAACATCGGGTGGGTTGCACGGCCTGGGCACAACGGAAAAGATCCGCAAGGTTTCAAGCGAGCGGGCAAGTTCAAGAAAGCGAGCAAGTAGGCTTATCCTTTCCTCACTTGTATTCGAAGTGCTAATGAATGTAGCATGAACTACGGCCTAGCGTTGTCAATCAAACTCGAAAAGCACCTCGCGGCCCTTATTGATCAAGGCGAGGAAGAGGCTGAGGGCGTTTCACTGGAGGACCTTGCGATGCAATTAGCAATCAACGAGATCTACGAGGAGAGCGGACGGAGGTGGAAACCCTGGGCGAGCAATGGGAGGAGTTTGAGAGTGGGGGAGATTATACTGATCATCGACGCGGACACGATCGTTCCGGAGGACTGCTTTAGGGATGCGGCGAGGGAGATGTATGAGAGCGAGGATGTCGCGATCATACAACACGAGTCCGGTCAGTGTCCCTCCTTCTAGAGACTACTGGACCTAACTTTGTACCACAGACGTCATGCAAGTCGCGCACCACTACTTCGAGAACGGCATCACGCACTTCACGCGGCGCATTAATAAATGTATCTCGTACGGCTGCGCAAACGGGGAAGTCGCCCCCTTCGTCGGACACAATGCGTTCCTGCGGTGGTCTGCCGTCCAAGATGCGTCGTTCGTGGACCCGGCGGACAATAAACGCAAGCAGTGGTCCGAGGCTAACGTTTCAGAGGACTTTGACCTTGCTCTGCGCCTCCTCCTGCGTGGCTACACGCTCCGGTGGGCGACGTACTCGAATGGCGGGTTCAAGGAGGGTGTGAGTCTAACGATCGTCGACGAGCTAGCGCGATGGCAGAAGTACGCCTATGGGTGCGACGAGATCATCTTCAACCCGCTGGTTAGGTGGTGGAGGCAAGGACCGATCAGTAAACAGCTGAGGGGATTCGTGTGGTCTGCCGCTCCAGTGCATTATAAGATCGGCATGATGTCGTATATGTTCTCATACTGTGAGTGCTTTTCGTTCCTTCTACTAGACGAGGCTGAACAGCATCTAGACGGTATCGCCGCTGCGACTGTTGGATCGATTATCAATTACCTCATTCTTGGACTAGCGCCGCGTCTAGACCAGTTCTACCTTCACAGTTTTGAGATCCTCTTGGCCTGCGTCGTTGTTTTCCCCGCTCTCGGTAATCTGGGATTCACGCTTCTTGAGTACCGGGTGGGTCATCGCAAGCTCTTTGGCGCGCTATACGAGAACTTGAGATGGGTGCCATTCTTGTACGTATTCATTGGCGTTTAGTGTCGTCAGACTCATTCTCTTGCAGCGTCTTCTTCTTTGGCGGTCTGAGTATTCACCTGTCCACGGCCCTCCTTGCACATCTGTTCTCGTACGACATGACATGGGGCTCTACCGGCAAGGAAGTCGAAAAGTCGACTTTCTGGATCGAAGGTAAGCTGCTCTGGTCTCCTTTCCTGGACATGAACTCACCCCATCTTCTTCAAGTTCCTCGTATACTCAAAGGCTTCTGGCTGTCCTTCGTCATCTGCTTCTCGCTCATCATCATGGTAATCGTCTTCACCAGCGACATCGTTCCCGTTGAGTGGCAGATAGCGGGATGGCAGTTTGCGTTGGTCATTCCCTTGTCGCTCGTCGTTGGATGTCATATTCTTCTACCGGTGAGTAAATCGTAGTCGATTTGGTTCAAAGGTGCTTAACATGGTATACGTAGATCGTCTTGAACCCATGGTTGATGAAGTTTTCGTACTAAGCTTTCGGTTTTCGAGCATGGATTTGGACTTTGTAGAACTCTAGATGTTTATGATATATGTGGATTGTTGCATGCGGTATATTTAAATTTTTGTGTGTTGTAGGACCAACTGAGCGGGGGCAACTCTGGTAGAAGATAACATGTAGGAGATGCCGACCTGATTCTGAGAACGGCAGATGTGGCGCTATAGTGTAGTGGCAGCACATGGGATTCTGAATCAAACATTCCCATAACCCAGGTTCGACCCCTGGTAGTGCCTGTGACTGGAATGGTTCTGTTATTTTTTCACTAGGGTGGCGCGGCAGTTGTTTTTTCACTAGGGTGGCGCAGTAAACCTACGCCTCCGGTAAGTAACGGTTAGTAACCTACCTCCCTCCCGAGCCGCGGTTTCGATACGGTTTCTTACCGTTACTTACCAGCACGTGATTTTATCATGTGACTGGCGCGCGCCACTCCGCCCGCCTCCCGCCCGCCCTTCCTGGTCCCCAGCGGCACCCTACAAGTCACATGATAAAGTCATGTGAGTGGTAAGTAACACCCCTCCTAGAGGTGGCCTGTTACTTACCAGTAACTTACCGGTAACTTACCGGTCCGAAACCCAAGTGTATCAAAACTAAGGGTTTACTGCGCCACCCTATTTTTCACCGAATTTGCCTGTGTGGAACAGTGTGGTTCGCACTGCGCAAGCGCCGTAGGTGTCCCTGAGACCGTACCCTAAGACCTCTTGAGTCTTGAGTCTTGACCTCCCACCCATATGCACCGTACCATAACATTTGCGGAGCCTTACTATCGATGACGCCTGCCAATAATAAGAGTACGATGTGGACCATGGCGCCATAGCTCCAGGGTTGACATTTCACTTCATATCCTCTTAGTACTGCATCGTGATAGTCTAAGAATCCCATCTTTTGATGCGGTAATAAGTAATACTACTACTAGGCTTCAAGTACTACAGAACATAGTACTATTGGATTGTAACGAGTCACTATACTTGACCGACCGACCTGCCTCCCAAATAGCGCACTCGAAGCGGCATCATGGCCTCCTCACCGACGAATGCCTTCGTAGTCGTAGATCTGAATTGTTCGACCTTTGCACCCGCCGTGCCCTCCAAGGCAAAATCACGAATCAAAATTGCGAGCATCACTTTGAAGTCAAGAATAGCTGTTAATCATGAGCCACAGAACAACACAAAACACCTGACGCTCACCGAGTCGCCAACCGAGACAGTTCCTAGGTCCGTCCAGGAATGACGCCACATTGGCGTACGGACCGCGAGGGAGTTGGTCCGTTGGAAGCACGCCCCAGGAATGAGCCACCGCTCGGGGGAGAAACTATGACTATCTGGGCCGCAGACTTCGGGATCTGTGTTCAGAACGGAAATTGGAATCACCTGCGATGAGGTGAGAAATGTCGGAGCAGTGTGGCAACGTCGAACATACCTGTCCCGCTTTGATGGGCGAAGAAGTGATGACCTCCCCGTTGGCGGTGGTAACCGTTTTCCCAAGTGGAATCATGTCGTCTTCGAGGGCGACGCGATCGGTGCGAGAGGACACGGCGCCGGCGTGTAGTCGAAGAGCTTTACAGCAAAGGAAAGACAAAGACCGTCTCACGACATCGGGACTGAACAATGGTGCTTTGATACGATAGACAGGTCCGAGCAGCGCAGCCCATCTCGAGTGCGGGGAGTGCTTCACATTCGTTTCCTGCGACCAGGCGGCATATTCGTGGCCCCAAAGCCAATGTTGCTGGTCTGCAGGCTAAGACGTGTATTAAATCAATACGGTTCATGCCCTATCAATTGCGGTCCACGTACAGCAATGCGCAATTCATGGATTGGCGAGCTTCGTCGAACAAGGAGTCGGTAGAGAAGCAAAGCGGCGAAGAGGACAGCACATAAGACGGAGTTGTACATCGTATCAAATCCGTATCGAGATTGTGAAAGGCGCGCGACAGGCTGGAGAGAAGAGGAGCATCACGCATGACTATAAGTATGCGCAAAAAATGTCATGGCATCTGTTCAAACACGTCGAATCAAAGCTCGCACGCGGTTGCCGGAAAGTCAGAACCTGCTAGAAGTTTGCCCCCAGGTCCTCAGCCCCGTTGATATCGCCTTCAGGTGGTGGTTGTGGTAAAGATATCGTGCGTGGGAACAACTTCCTGATGACGCGCCACCGCACGAACAGGTAGCCCTGCCAATTCGAAAGTCGAAAATAGAGCCTCCAACACACGTTCCTCAAAGCCTCTCTAAAGTTGTCGGAGGCGGCGCTGTTCCAATTGCTAGGGTCCAGTTTTATCGACGGTTTTCGACTTGGTAGTCCTTTAGCATCCCTTCTGGGCTCGCTATCAAGCATATTCTACAATGATTGTAACGTTATACAGGGCATCCCCCCGAAACAAGGAGTCCTTATCTGTATAGGTTAACGCTTGGTGTCCACCCGTGGTGAACGAACAAGAACAGCCCTCTGTTTGATGTTCTATTTTGCACTCCTTGTATTGTTTTGGGTAGCGGCTTTCTCTCTTCGCGTGGCCAATCCGTTGAATGAGACGGGGCATTGCTTGCGTCGTCGCCCGCAAGCCCTCTGTTTGTTCATCCCCCATAACATTTCTCTACTGAAGATGGGTCGTGTAGTGATCTGGTGGGATCTTTCGCACCTGCCAAATCTTCCAATATTCTCGGGCTACGCGCTAGCTTCATGAATAGGTTCCTTCACCCTATCCAAGATCATTGAATGGTTGGAGGAACTGCCTGACGCGTCTTCTGTGTTTGTTCGTTATCATGCATGAGTCGTGATGCGGGGATTTAGGATGAAGGAAGGACGGAAGTGTATTAGGTTGAGGTCGAATCTGCTGATGTCATTTCGAGAGAACAAAATCCCCAAACCGACCGCCCCTGGGGCTAGAACGAGCCACAATTCAGCAAGCTATGCCTCTTCTCCGATCTCGTCGAATCATGAGGCTGAACGGACACATGAATCACCGCCGCCGCCCTCTCCACTGGTTTAGGCCCTTGAGGTAAGATCTGGAAAGATGGAGGTCTATATGCCCCGCTGTCCTTCTCGTCAATAACACCCACAACACATTCGTGTCGCGGGCCTCTCGGCCAGAGGACGTTGCATTGAAGAGAAAAACCTTGAAGTTTCGCGACCAGACATTGTTAACGTTCACTCGAAAGTCTCGAGTTCTGAATCAACCCGCTGCAAATGCGTCCTATTGATAGATGTCGGGGCGAAGGCATCGAAGGGCACAGATCTAGCAGAGCAGATGAATACGAAGTATAATTAAGAGAACTCTGAAACATGTTGGTAGATGAGTGAAGCGAGACAGGTAAACCGCAAGTAGCACCATTACTAGGCTAGGATAAACATGGTAAGCGTGGGCAATACAGAGCACGGCGGGATCCCGAATCGATTCACGGTCTCTGCCGGTCATACGGCCCTCTCGGTCCTCTCGTTATAAAGGACAATGCGCTCCGTCAGGAGCTCCTCGTGTTGAACAAGGTTCGGCAGCGTCTTGTGTTGGAAACCTAGCAAACCGCAGTGTAGTGAGCCAGCCGTTGCGTTCTACGCAGTAATAGGCAAAGTAAAGGAAAATTAGAGTCAAAAGGCGACAGACATACTAAGTTCGACTCACATAAATCCCCAAGGCCTCAAAGGTCTAGGCTTAAAACTAGTAGTGGGATCCCCAGCACGCAGAATTGGTTTGAAGAAGTCCGTCGGAGGCCGTGATAGGACCTTCGCTTATATCTGAAGGTAAGCTTTATCTGAATGCGCCCGCGTACACCATAGAACTCACTTAGTTCTTATAGGACACGGCTGCATGAGGATCAACTAGTTCCAGGCAGCTGGGATTTTGGAGCGGCATGAGTTAAGAGACGCGGCGCATACGTGCGGAATCGGAGCGCGGTCGTGGGCACCTCACTGGCAACCAGCGGTGAGACCTAGGGAGTGGGCCAGGAGTGGGCAGGGAGTCCGCAACATCATGACGGTTCCGGGAAAGCCGGTCACGGTCACATAACGTCTGGGCCCCGTGCGCTTTGATCTTCAATCTTAGTAGGTTCAATGTTCAACGTTGAACGTTCAACATTCATCTCCGACTGACAACTATGACCTTCGTCAACTTGACCGAACTAAATTACTTGACTTGACCGAAGGAATTCATTTATCACGGCTGTGGCGCCCCACAAGGCTCTGCCACGTCATAACTCATCTGGTCTACTTATACAGCGGTATCATTGCTCTCCCGAAATCATACTCTCATCCCCACGATATTTCGATGCACATTACCAGACTGCCCCGAGGCTCTCCGCGGAATCTGCCATTCGACAAAGCAACTTTACTCTGCCACGAATCCTCTCGTCATCCTGCGTCATCCTGCTCCTTTCCTTTCCCACCTCCCTCTAGACTCTATGGTACGCCTTCGCGATGTAGAACCCTATAGAACGGCATCTTCGTACCATATGGCTATCAGCAAATCTAACATCTGCCGATGATCATGAGTTGAACGACTGGATGTCTCCGCGCGCGCCTTCTAAGTTCTCATCTCTGAAGCTGTATCACGCAGATGGAGCTTCATGAATTAATGAACCGGGACAATCGTGGGTTGGCTTGTGCTGTCGAGATTGTCATGCACTTGAGTCAAACAAAGTTTGAAGGTCTGATTCTTGGTCAATTGCGATTTCCAGCGGGAGTATTCGATACTCATTCTTGCGTCACTCAGGGAAAATAGTACCCTCTTTATAACAATCATGACAGCATACAACTCAGTCTTCCTGGGACTCAGTGTACTGACTCACAATGACTGTTCTTGCATAATCATACGGCAGATGTCGTGCATCTATCGATGTGATGCTTTCTTCGCTATGACGCGTGTGCGCCATTTTTCTATTTAGTCGTACATTAGATAGTGATACAGTTTAATGAGGCGGTAGCGTGCATAACATCGTGTCGTTGACCCGGCGTCATCTCGATGTTCATCAGCGATAACTATAGCCATCGACGTCTCTTATACAGAACTGCGCACGCTCGCTCGAAGCCAGTCCGTACCGGCTCAGATCAACTTGCGTGCATCTCAGATGCACGTCCCGCGGTCTGCCGCACCCAATCTTTACATCGCACTCGGGAGCAAAGTGAATTCGTGCGTCCCCGTCCCAGTCGTTATTATAGATTTTGGGGTGAAGCCCCCATTGCGTTATGGAGGATGGCCCGCTGGAGGACTACGGAAGATCCGATATGACTATGAAGCGAACACGGAAGATGG